GGGGGGCAGGTAGGGAGGAAAGAGAAGCTTGCCCCTCCACCCTCCTCTGCCTCCCCACTGTTCTGTCCCTGCTGTTGTGGTGGTGCTCTGCCACCTCTGAGGACCGGGGGTGGGGGGCGAGGTCAGCAGTGCTGGCCTAGCCCCCCTGCTCTGTTCCCTCCATCCCCACCATCGTGACGCTCTGCACTCTGATTGGTTGTTTCACTAACCAGTCAGAGTGCTTCAAGAGCATTATGGACAGACAGACAGATGGACTACGCCCTTTATTATATAAGAATAATGTGAGGCACAATAAGCTTCCAAATTGCTTTTAAATTGTAAATATATCAATAAACATTATGTTCAACTGATACCTATATATGTAGTGGTGTTTCATTTTAATTGTGGAAAAACATGGATTTTCGTGTTTTTGATCAGAGAACATGGGGTTTTTAAACGGAGATAACCAGGATCTATGCTTATAAGTCACGCTTCCCAGGCCTCTGATCATTTTTGTTCTCTGTTAGATTCTTTCCAATCCCTCCACATCTTTCTTGAAGTGTGGGGACCCAAACTGAACAGCATATTCCAGGTCAGGCATTGCCAGTACTGAAAAGAGTGGAAGAATCACTTTCTTTGATTTGCAAGTGACATAAAATTATTTAGTAACTTCTATCTGCAGTAGTGGTAGGTAGCGCGTGCATGTGATAAAGGCATAGCCAGGCACCTCTGTGCCCAGGGCAACTGTGTGACATCCAGAGCAATATTGGCTTTTTGTCCTCCCCTCCCACCTTCCCACAAAGGTGTCTGGTGCTGCTGCCCCCATTACGCCACCTTCACTTACTGTACTTGTGATAAATTCTATAGTTCTAGACTGGAATAGAAAGCCTACATCTGTGGTTGATGAGTAGCATTACAATACTAGTTGTTGATTCATGGGATCATGTGCTGACTTTGCCTGCTTTGAAAGGATTTAAGATCTTGTTTGTAGTACCATTGAGAAACTATTTGCACATCAGCTAGTTTCAGTTTTTCAGCTTGATACAGTAGAGGAGACCAGTCCTATTTACTACGTGCTGAAATAGTAATACATAGGGGGAAACACTTTCCCTGTCGATAAAGTACCCATAAGTCCAAAGCTGTATCTTTTATGATAGTTTCTTCTATTCTGTAGTCTTTCATCAGGATGACTTGCTGTCGTCTTAGTATTCAAGTAACATTTTTCCTCTGCAGTCTTTAGTGAGGACATGCTTATAATGAGGATGTATATTTTATAAAAAGATATATTTAGTGTATATGTCATGATTTATAATTATTTGTGCCAGAAAGAGAGAGAATCCCATGTCCCAGAGCAAAGATAAAATGGCATTGTTTACATGGGGGGGGAAGAATGGAGGAGGTTTGGTTTTCAATGTGAACATGTAGAACAACAGGACTGACTTCAGATTCCAAAGCTGTTGATTCCTGTCAAAAGGGGAAGTAGCCCAGGTCTGGTGGGTCACAGTTTGCAATAAAAAGAACTGGCTTGAGAAAAACACTGATGACCTCAGTGTAGCACTCTCCAATATTGTTGTTTTAAAATTTGCTGATTTAACAACCAGACACACATTGATATGGCTAAAAGCCTTAGTTGGGCACAGTCTCGGGCTTAAGGCATAGGCATATTGCCAGGGGGGAGATGGTCTGAAGTCGCTCCATGAGGAATTTTACTTCATAGACAGGATTTTGGCTAGAACTCTGTGTGAAGCAAGTCTGTGCACCCAAGGGGCAACACCCCTCGGAGAATGCAGCTTTTCCCTCGCCCCACATCGGACTGATGCCATCCAGTGGGCCAGTGGTGTGGATAGAAGAAGATCTATCCATGCCCCCGCACACTTTGGGACACTGGACTCTCCAAGGGGAGCAGTGTGGGACCAGTTTCTTAGCTTCCCAGGATGCAGGAACTTCTTTCATGTCTTCCTTTCTAATGTCCCCGCTGGGGGCTGTAAAAAGATGCATTAGTTTAACTGTGGCATGGCATTAATATAACCCTTTTGTCAGTGTAGCAAACTTCCTATTCAGTAACCACCTTTCACTGTAATTAACATGAAAAATGCACACATTTCTGAGAATGTTATATTTTAACATTTGGTGTAGAAAAGCCACAAAACCACTTAGAAGCTTCTAACTGTAATATTTTTCTTGGAGATGGGAAAATATGTATATTATTCTATAGTACTTTGTGCTAAAATATGACATATTTTTCTTGCTTATTGTTTTTTCAACAAAAAACAATCCCCACTCCCCTCACTGTTCAAAATACCCTTCCAGTTTCCATTATCAGATCGTGATTGTTTTTTGAAAGCACATGATTCATTTATCAAGCATCAAATATTAGGACCTTGTATGCAGTCCCACACAGGATAAGAAGTCAATTAGTTTGTGAACTTTATATTATGAAACAGTACATAATCAGTGTTGATCCTACTGATTGTTCTCACTTTGCCATTTAATGATGCCCTAAAAATGTGTTGATACAAGTTTATCAGATCCATGAGTTCCTGTACCATTATGGTTGATGGATGGGTAAAGGGACACTTTCTGAATCTTCACAAGGCTAAAATGAAGAAAAATCAATTTCAATCTCTCAAAGAGAAATCTTGGCGTAGGAAGCTGCTGAGCTGTATTGCTGTCTCTAGAGTAGTAGGGTCTTTAAGGAGAAATTCAAAAATAAAACAGACTTGTTAAAAACCAGATCATGTTTTGTGGAGTTACCTTGAGATACTGTAAAAAGAATAAAAATGCAGTTGGGAAAAATGCAAGGGGGGAGTGGAATTTTCTTGTTCCCATTTAGGGCCTTTGAGCTCCAGGAAATATATTTTTGCAATAACAGCATAGGGACCCACTCCTCTTGGTTCACCTTTAGGCTTGGAGAAAAACTGTTAAATGGTCTGCTTATCATCTTTGTCTATGCCTCCCCTAAAATTCAGTTCATAAGACCAGAAACATACATATTTTTAAACTGGAATAAATGGTTTCTGTGAGAGAGATTCCATGTAAAAATGCACGTAAATCTTTAATCTTGGCTGGTTATAGTGTCTGATTTTATTTCTAGATACTACAAATTACTTTTAAAAGGTCAGAAAATGCACTAGATGCTCTCCCAGTATTATTTCTCAGTTTAAGTGATTGCTACGATTGCTAAAGTGATGTTGTTTGATTGAAAGTGGAGAACAGTTCCACTTTACAGTCATGAATGGGAGTAAAGGTCATCTAGGAGACAACCTTTCTATTAAGGTGTGATCATGCCATGAAAAGGCTAAAGAACTTCTTCCTGAGGCTATACATGTTCTTGGTAACTTGTTCCCTTTAGAAACTACTCCTGTTCCCAAAGTACAACCCAGTTGGCTTGGTCAATGTTTTTTTAGGCTTCCTGTCACTTTTCTGCCTGACTTACCTAAAATCTGCTCTTGTTTATCAGCTGCAGCTTCATGTTATCTGTCACCTTTTCAGCCTCTGCCTTTCTGTGCCCATTTACTATGTGTGTGGTCAGTTGTGTACCAAAAATCTGCCTGACTGGATGAATACCAAATTAATCAAAGTTACATAATTAGTGCCTATGCAGGTCATTAATCATTCATGAATAGAAGCCTTTCAAGGAAAGAGAAGCAGGAATCTTCTTAACGCATGAGCCAAATCTTTTTAAAAAAATCAAAGTAGCACTTCAAGAAGGGTTGTGTTTCTTGTTCCCACCAAATCGCTTGTTATAAGCTATTGTGTATGTGCAAAATCTGCCTGGCATGTAGTCGTAATTATCTGAGGTACAGGTCACTACATCATTTCTCCTTGAAAAATATGGTAATCAGTCACTACAGTGTCTGCAGTTGTGCTAGATCTTAGTTCACTTCTCATGTCTTTTTTTGTAACTCCAGCTATTTCAGTGAAAATGTGCTGGTTCAGATGCTTTCCCAAATCTGCAGTAATATTTTACTCAAATGTAAAATGCTGTCTTTTGCTGTCACAATCTCCCTGTTTGCTGGAACTTGTGAATTATGCACTTAGCTGGTCTGTTTAACCTAGGGCTCTCTTTACTGTTATCCTTTTCTCGCATGTCCCACTGGTTGTTTGATGTACTTCCTTGCTCCACCTTTTCTTAACAAACTTTTCTAATCTGGGATTCTTGCTAGAGACTCAGTTCTACCACCCCAACTCTACAGATAAGACTAGCTGTAGAGTGACAAACTATTTACTGTAAGGAAGGGTGGTTGTTCATGTACAGCACCTCGTACACTATGGTTTAATCAAAATTGGGTACTTGGCAGCAACAAAAAAAATGCTTAGTAGTAAACTTACGACAAATAAAACAGGTTTTTTTACTTTGGAATTTAAACCTAGCACAGTGGTGGTGTTCATTCCGATTTTTTTTTTTTTTTTTTGTAGCAATTATGAAATATGTACTGAAGAAATGGAAGTGAACACTGTTGGTGATCAGTGGGATTAAACTGATTGTGTTTTCTATTCTTAATTCCTCACTCATGTTATAAAAGGAATATATTTATATTAGTAATCTATACTTAAAAGATCAGCTGTCATCTTTTAAGTAGAATAATTTATACTTAAAAGATCAGCTGTGTAACTTTGCACATGCATGTAATCCCTTAGAATTTATAAGAGCTTTCCCTAGAAGTTTACAGATGATATTTCCAAGCTGTTGGAGGGATTGGGTTACCAAGTACAATTAGAAATCAATAGAAACTTAGTGTCTAAGTCCCTTGGTCAGTTTTGTAATCTCAACCAATATCAGTTATGAATTATGCTAAATTTTCTGAGACTTCATATACACCACAGGATTCCTTTACATCGTGAGAAACAGCTTCAGTTACAAGTTAATTTCTCTTCTACTTCCCAACCCAAGAAAGTAAGGTTGGATGGAAATCACCCTTTATAAAACAATTTAAATGCTATGCACAAATTGTATTAATGATAAAGAGCAAGAATCCAGTTATAGCAAACTGACATTGAAGTGTTTATTTTCTTTGCAGACTGCATCCTCAGCTATTAAAGGAGCAATTCAGCTGGGAATAGGATACACAGTAGGTAACCTCACATCTAAACCAGACAGAGATGTACTTATGCAAGACTTCTATGTAGTGGAAAGTGTGTTTCTACCCAGGTAAGAGCAATCTTATATAATTAAAGAGTTTTATGCTTTTATTTGCTAGATAATTTTTCTTTTCAAAATAATCCTTATACTAAAACATGATCATAATAGGCTCGATGCAGCAGAACCACAATGGTTGCCTGAAGAGAGGATATTTATAACTAGGGGTCTACTTAGCACGCAGAGACAAAGCAATTTTTGTGGCTTGGTCGTGGCACGAAGAATGGATTTCACATGCGTTTCCTGGTGGCCCTACCACTCACCGCTGCTTGGTAGAGAGGCTTATACTGTATAATATAATAGAAAATTCCTTGTGTACCGCCTTAAAAGATAGCGCTGAAACATTTTTACTTCACTGACTGGTGCCTTCACTTAGTATGCATCACTAGCAGACAGTAATGCTCAGTCATGTGCTCTGTTGCTGAAGTGATTGTCACGTTGTCTTTGTATTGCAGTAAGCATTGTGACTTCCTAAAACAGAGTATTATATGAATTAAATGCTGGGGATTTTTAGGTTAATTTCATGGGAAATCATGGCCAATGCCATATTTCCTAGCGATTGTGGGCAATGCCATTTTTCATAGTTTCTGCAAAAAACACAAAACTGTGAATTAAGTAGACCCTTATTTATAAAAAATAGTGATAAGATTATGAGTCTATTTGAACTAGAAGTTTAGAGTTTGTAATTATCTGAAAATGAGAACCAAAGACTACACATACCTTTTGTATTAACTAAGGCCGCAGCTGAAACTAATTGCTGTATGTAATCAGCTCTGCAGGTGGTCTCCACATGTTTAAGACATTATACTGAAATTCAGCATCTAGTTCAGACCCTCTACCCCAGCACCTCCTGTAACCTTTGATAAGTCAGGTACTGGCCCACAAAAGTATTTAAGGTTCTAACTCCAAGTAATAACCGTGCGAGGTAGGTGCCTAGTGATTTAGTATCCTAAATACCGTTGTGAATTTTAATATCTTTATGCCTTGTTTTCCATCTTTAATAGGAAGATGATAGTAATACTTGCATCTTGCCACAATATCGGGAAGAATAATAATATATGAGAACATCAGGCTATATAGTGATGGGAGCAATGTAGAAACTTATTAACTTACCTGTAGGTTTATAGACAGAATCTATTTATACATTGAAACTGTAAATCAACCTTTCTTCCACTGGGGACAGCTTTCGGTATTTGAACACAGACAGATGCATATATTCTTACAGCCCTGTTTAAGGGACAGTGTTGCAGAAACACATTCATCTTAATGAAGGAAATCAAAGGTAGCTCAGATGCCAGTGATATAAAAACTTGGTATATAATGCCCTATAATGTTTTCCAAGCAGTTATATAAAATGTGCATGTATATATGCATACACTTTATATGTAAATATGTATATAATTAAGCACTTGTACACATTCATAGATTCATAGATTGTAGAGTTGGAAGGGACCACAAAGGATCATCGTGTCCAACCCACTGCCCCAGGCAGGAAAGAGCACTGAGGCCATACGACCCCAGCCAGGTGTCTAGCTTCCTCTTGAAGACCTCCAAGTTAGGTGAAACTACCACCTCCCTTGGCAGCCCATTCCAGATTCTGGCCACATCTACTGTGAAAAATTTTTTCCTAATGTCTAACCTGAATCTACTCTCCACTAGTTTGTACCCATTATTCCTAGTTACTCCTAGGGGTGCCCTGGTAAATAGTGGATCTCCAATTCTCTGTTGTCCTCCCTTGATAAACTTATAGGCGGTTACAAGGTCACCCCTCAGCTGTCTCTTGTGAAGGCTGAAGAGATCCAGATCCCTCAACCTCCCCATATAGGGTCTTGCACGGAGGCCACTAATCATTCGAGTGGCCCTCCTCTGGACCCTCTCCAGATTCTCTGCATCCCTCTTGAAGTGCAGTGCCTAAAACTGGACTCAGTACTCCAACTGCAACCTGACCAATACCACATAGAGAGAGAGCATCACCTCCTTCGATCTGTTGGTTCTGCTGAACTATATTACATACTTGTGTGTGTGTGTGTGTGTACCTTTTTCATATATATATGAAAAAGATGAGAACAGTATAGGTTGAGATTTTTAAAAACAGGATTCTAAATTTAGTTTCGTAAATTGACAGGGAAGACTTTTTCTGATTCTTTGAAGTGCTGCATACTTAATACCTTCTATTGTTTCAGTGGGAGCAGCTTGGATATTCAACACTTACAGAATTCAGGCCTGCTTACCTAGTTGAGTACATACTGAAGTTCAGAGTTTGGCCCACATAGAATATGTATGTAACCCCACAAGATCTTTCTGAAGATCTACACTCCTAGAAATTATTTAAATGCCATAACAATAAAATAATGTCTAGGATAACAGACATAACAACTTCCTTTTTGAAACAAAGGAAGTTGCTTTAAGAGTTGATTTTATTTGATGTAACTCCATATTGGAAGAAAGAGCCCTGGGAATAAATTAATCTGTGATTTTTTTTCTTTAGGGAAAGACAATAGGTTAAACTACTGCCTGGGAAAAAAATCCAGACCTTACACAAGATACTGTAGTTCTTGCAGTGAAACAAGTTAATTCTGTTGCTATCTACCATAAGTTTTGTATCTACTTTTTCTGTGTCCTGTATTTTGGATTAGGGCATATACCAAACACAAATGTTTTTTCATGTGTCAGCAAGAAATTAATTTTTTAGACCACAAGAAACTACTTATCATGCCTGTGTTCTTAAGTATAATAAAATTTCCCTGTTCTAAAAAACAAAATACAGTAATAGCTAGCCTTGAATGAGAGTGTTGCGAGGACAGAGACAGGCATGAAGATTTCTATTGATTATGTTGTCTTTCTGTAAAAACCTCTGAATTCTCAATAGCAAATGAAACTTACCCCAACCTTCCTACCCAAAAAACAAAACAAAAGAAAAATACAAAAAAACCCTACTCCAGAGACATTTTTTTAAGCTAAAATTGTAAGTGGAAGAATCCAGTCTCCAAGCCCTCTCTCTCTTTCATCCTATATATAAAGTCTCAAATCAGGACGTAGTGTTTTGAAAGTTGTAATATGTTTCATTTTAGCCGATAGGAAACCAGCTTACATACATGCTAACAAGTAACATTTTTCCTATGTTTCTCTGAGGGTAGGGAGAGGACAGGTTTCTTTTCTTTTAGACTGGGAATGCAGCCAGGAGGAACATCTTATGTGTACTGACACAGTTTATTGTTAAAAGCTGTAGTAGCATCGTCCTGCCAGTCATCCAGAAATATAGGACAAGGCAATATATACTATATATAATAAAGGAAAGCTATAGCCAGGGGCAACAAGTAATTTGACTTGACCTCTAATACAGCTAGCCAGTAAACAAAAGCACGTTATACAGTGAGTCATCTTGACTGAAACAAAGGCTCTTTCTGGAAAGAGTACTTGTTGATAACATTCTCCCTCTATTAGAATCAGAAGTAGCTTATTCATCTCAGTCTGTTAAGAACAACCACTGAGTGTGCAATGTCTGTGCATTTAGTGCGTCTAGTAGATGGAAAGTCTGGTTCTGTCTTGGTGCAACTTGCGTATTTATCAATCTTCCTAAAACGGAACTAATGAGTATGAATGGCATGAGTGTGATAAATTCCAAATCCCTGAATAATGATAAAGGACACGCATTTCTATCACAGTCTTGAATGGTGAGCCTCCCCCTCACTCATGAAGGTGTAATGTAGGTTTATTTCTGAGGCATGACAATATGTAGACTGTCAACTTCAGCTGGGATAAAAATGGTAGTTAGAGTTTTGCTCAAGGCAGAAGGAACATGGACTGAAATAGAGCATACAAAAATCGAGGAACAGTCAACATTGCAGAGAAATATTAAGCAGAGGTCTGTTTAACAGATATTTAAATTACTCTACTAATGAAGCCGAGACAACAGAAATTACATGAGAAAATATGTGGGCTTATAATGGAAAAAATCTGCTTAACATATAAACCAGCCATATTCTGTTCTAGTTTCGGGCTCCACGGTTATTTAGCTGCATCCCTAGGTAGAGTGGTAAAGTGGGTATTCATAACCATATGTTCTTATATACAACATGCCCCCAATGAAACATGCACCTTGTTTTTTTGCAAGGCAGAATGTAGAAAGCAAGATTTTTTGAGGCATAGATAACTGGCTGTAACACAGCACTGCCTTTTCAGCTTGCTGAGCCAGATGCAAGCAGCAGCCATTTTGGCAGCTGCATGGCATGCAGTGTCTCCAGGAGTGCTGCTTTTCCAGCACAGAAAACAGCTTTCTCATTTAATACATACAACACAGTTTTGGGGGCCTGATTTTCAGGGGAGGAGTGCATGTCATATGTGAGAAAATGATTGATATATACATATCATACATATTCAGTTCACAACAGCCATTTTTTTTATCTTCACTGCCTGTCCTGATCCATCTTCAAGTCCTGATATACTTACTGTCCTCTTCTTTGCACCCAGACCTGACAGAAGCAATAGGAACAAAGAAGTGGGATGTCACTTGTTTCATCCATGTGTATCCTAGGTGCTATATCCTGATAGCAGTAGGCATTGTTATAATGGTGATGCTAGAATGAGCCCAGCCTACTTCAAATGCACTTAAAACAAATCAGATGTCATACTGGTTACAGTATCATGTAAGAACAAAACAGGAAACATAGCTCACAATTATGTATACGATTAATCCTCGGAGTTTTTTAAGACTAGGGTAGACAAAACCTTGGCTGGGATGGTATAGTTAGGAGTGGTCTTGCTCTGAGTAGGGGGCTGAACTAGATAACCAGCTGAGGTCCCTTCCAACCCTAATTTTCTGTGATTTTATGATACTCAATATCAGAAAAGAAAAAATCTTAGCATAGTTCTTCACCTGTCAAGTAAACTTTTGTACCATCTGTATGCTGGTTTAGTAACCATAGCAAAACACATTAGCATAGGATACCAACGGTCAGAGACTCATGATCCAAAAAGGAGGGGCAAAAAGGGTAAAATGATTAGGTTAGAGT